CACTCAGCGGGTGTTGCATGCATCAGTCCACAAGAAGTTAAATAAAAAGCACCCATCCATAAAAAAAAATGGTCTCACACGGCTCCGGGGGGTGAAACAAAGGCCTCCTGTAGTGAATTGATGTGTTTTTATAAGAAAAATATCCATATTCAAAACATAATAAATCACTTGAATCTAGCTTGTGCTCACTGTTGTAAACGGAAGCAGTTCCGGGGGAATGACATGAGGTCAGCTTTGCGCATGCGCCGCTCAGAAGTGACGAACGCGGAAGCGCAGCGGAGAGATCAAAACAAAACTTCTAATCACTAATTAGAAGTACAAAACGAGGATTTGAAGAAGAATGTCGGAGGATTTCGATATAAGCCAAGAGGAGACTGGTTTTCCTTTGCTAAAGTAAGGACACTTTGCTTCCTTTGCTCCTGTTAACAAACGTTGGTTTAAACGAGACTCAACGGCGCATGCGCAACGCTGAACTCATACGTCATCCGCCTGCAGCTGCTTCCGTGTACGACTGTTGGCGCACGCTACATTAAAGTGATTATTACGTTTTGAATATGGTTATTTTTCTTACAAAAACGCATCGATTCGCTGCAGGAGGCCTTTGTTTACCCCCCGGAGCCCTGTGAGACAGTTTTTTATGGATGGGCGCTTTTTATTTAACTTCTTTTGGACTGATGCATGCAACACCCGCTGAGTGCCATGAAACAGCTTGAAAGATCAAAGACAATTTTTAATAAAACTCCGACTGGATTCGTCTGAGAGAAGACAGTCATATACACCTAGGATGACCTGAGGGTGAGTAATTTATGGACTAACCCTTTAACATCCCCCCGTCAGCCGCTGAGAGTAACCGCAGATATAACCGCACTCGCATTCGTCCGCAGAGACTTCAAGAGCAAGAACGTGATGCTGAGGAGCGACCTCAGCGCGGTGCTGGGGGACTTGGGGCTGGCGGTGCGCTTCGAGCCGGGGAAGCCTCCGGGAGACACACACGGTCAGGTCGGGACGCGCCGCTACATGGCTCCGGAGGTGCTGGAGGGGGCCATTAACTTCCAACGGGACGCCTTTCTGAGGATAGACATGTACGCCGTGGGGCTGGTGCTGTGGGAGCTGGTGTCGCGCTGCAAAGCTGCAGACGGTGAGAGCGCTGGGGCATTGGGAGGAAATTATACTAACAGCTGTTTCCTGTCAGACACAAAAGTCTAACCCAGTAAAAAAAAAAGTAAAAATTCACATTTTATTTATTTTCAAATTTTACTTACCGTATTGGCCCGAATATAAGACGACCCTGATTATAAGACGACCCCCCCTTTTCCAGATGTACCGTTTGGAAAAAGGCTTTTTAAAAACCAAATCTTGTTTTTTCTCAGTAAAACACATTTTGTCTTCAATTATTTTCATATTGCATATTTTTCCTATTTTAATTTTTGTTTTGAAAGTATGGTAAAAACTGGTAAAATGTACCAACGATCACATTTAAAAAATATACACTTTTTGATATACCATAAAAAAAACAAACAGGTAGCCCATCTGAATTAGGACATTTAGGCTATCCATCTAATAGTAGCCTACCAAAATCTTATTAACAGTAGAAGTTAAATCTTACTGTAGTCTTCAAATCTGGGTAGTCTTGCATTTTACAATCACAAAGGGAGTTTGGTCCCATCAGGCTAACGAGACAGTCACGACTCATGCAGCTGTAAGCTTTTCTGCTTCTTTTGTTTGCCAGTTCGAAGGGAGCATAATTTGCTTTTTGGCTTAAAAGAATTTCTTGGTATGAAATTCGAAGAGTATGACAATTAGAGATTAGACTGTGCAGAAACTGAAATCACGCGCTAATTAATACACACTATACTCATAGTCACGCAATGCTGATGTTAACATAAATAATTTGAAAACAAAGTATAACAATAATAATAATTTGCATGGTTTGACATACTCCTCAAAACATTAGATTCATACGCGCTGGAGCCGTGCCGGAGTACAACCCACACAATGAAGATAATTCTGCAAACAGCTGCAATTCCAGGCTTTCAAACAGAGATGGCGACAAAGAGGCAAAACTTACGGACTGCAGCTTTAAAATTATTTTTGGATTTTTTTCAAATTTTAGATTCTAAATGTTGGATTTTAAATATTAAACTTGTAAAATATAAAAAAGGTAAAAGTTAAAAACTAGAATTTTTTTGGGAACTTCAAAGCAGGTGTTCTTTTAGTATAATTGAGATACTATTATAGTTTTTATAAATATTTTGAATCCGTTTTATTTTTATATTTTACGTTTTCATTTTTATATTCATTAAGATTTTAGTAATTTTTTTGTGTGT